GCGATTGTGGCGAACGCTTCAGTTTCGGGCGGCGTCTCAATAATGGCGTGGAATGAGATATAATGAATGCCATTGGCGTACGCGTAACCGGAAGAATGAGCATGGCCACTTAGATATGCCACCACCGATGAGTGTCTGTCAAAACAAGCCATCACTTCATCGTAATTCCACATAACGGTATTCCAGTCACTACTGTCCGGGTTTAGACCCACGTGACCGAAGACTATCACCAATTCATTCTTCTCGTCCGACTCTTGCAGCTCTTTTTCCAACCAATTTAGCTGTTCTTCACTTATAGCGCCGTTTGAAGACTGAAACCGTTTGTTAGGACCCACTAAGTGGTCGTCGGTATCCCATAGATCCCAATCATGTCGTCCGTGATGTCGGAACAACTCTTCGGCAGCCATTATGTATTTCTCGTGATTGGACTCGTGTCCCAAAACACTGATATCAAAGCAATCCAATGATATAAGTTTTAGCCGAGAAATTGGATTCACTTTATAGTAAAGCGACAATTCATCCGAATTTTCTGCCAAAACTTCTAAACCATTCAAACCAATCGATTCGGAGCTCAGTTTCATTCGCTTGAATAGAGAATCTCTAAAGAGTTGTCCCAATTGTTTGCGCGAAAAGTTATACAATTCATGATTTCCTTTAATTAAAACAAAATAAAGTAAATTATATATTTTTATACAAAAGTTATGTGTATTTAGAGCATATAAAGGCAGAAAAGTGGGAAAATTGTTTTTAATTAAACGTATATATTGAATCATCAAGGTATTTTGTCACCTATTAATATACACAATATGTAAATAACATATGAATAGTGTATGAATAACGTTAAGCTATTTTTCATCAAAGGAGCTTTTTATGGAGCATTTGCCGTTTGATGAGTTAGAGAATAGTTGGATACATACCGACGGCATGAAAGGTAGGGATGTGTTGATTGGATTCAAATTCATTAAGTGTTTTGCGAATGGCATCAGCGCTGGAGTCGTGATACTCTCGGGTCTGAGCATTGATACCATCGATGATATCTCCCAATTGAAGCACAAAACTGATCCCTTTGTCGCGCTTTTCTTCACAATTCCAATGAGTGAACGCTTTCTTCACTTGAGTTAAAGAGTTTCGATAATATCTGGTTTTGGTTGAGTCATACCACGCCTGACGGTCATCGTTGTCGGCGTACTGCACATCCGCCACAACACCGAACCGAAGTAAACACGACATTGTTTTGGGAACAGATTTTATGATATGATGACACACTTGGAGATGCAGTTTATTATATCTAAAATAAAATTATTAACAAAAATTTAAAATTAAAATATGTATACATAATGTATTTTAATATAATGTGAAAATAACATTTAAAATACTATCTGATTTGTATAGCCAGTACTTTTCTGCTTTTATTCATTTTTATGAGTTATGAGCTTTTATTCATAAACAGCGAACACATTATTCATAATTGTATTCATAATTACTTCTAACTTTAAATTAATTGTCATATTATATATATTTTCGACACAAACTATAAATCCTATCAATCAATAAAAACACTTCGGATTGTAAACCTAATTGTCATAAAATACATCGATTTTAACCACTATTTGTACACGACTTTAGTCTTTGTATCACTTTTGAGAACAACTGTTCTCGTCTTTGGTGTCACTAATATTTGAAGGATTTTATCACAAATTATTGCAAAATGTGTAAAACAATGAGAAATGAATTAAAAAATTGACTTGTAATACAAATATCAATTAAAAAACGAGTTTAATTTTAGATACAAGTCAATGAAACGTTAATTTAATTGAATTCAATAAACACTTGATTGAAAATACGCAATTTTAACAGACAAAAGAGGTGAAACTGTTTTAGCATATTGTTATTCATAAATTATAATTTGTCCCAGAGTTTGATTTTTAAGCAGCAGAAAAAGTACTGGCTTTACTTATTTGTAATTTCATATAAATATTTATAACACGATTAATTAGATTGAAGGTAAATTGCACAAAAATAATTTTAATGCAAGTTAAAATTATCAGAATAATGTTCGGCTAAATAACATTGTTAAATATTCTATAAATTGATAATGTTGAGACAACTGCCAACATTTATTGTTGACTCATTAATATTGATTAATGGTAATGGTAAAAATACTAATTCCAAGTGTTAATACCAGACAACATGTTATATATATTCTTACCGATTAATTAAGTTGAAATATTTAATCATAAAATAAATTAATGATTTAATTTAAAAATATTCTAGTTATAATGATTATTTAATTAAAAAAGAAAGTTATTAAAATATTATACACCATTAGGCGAAAGAGTATTAGAAAATATCAAATTCAATCATATTATTAACAGATATGACACAAAATAACACTTCAATTAATTAGGAATTAAATATTCATATTTATTTCTATAGTTACCTAATAGATAATGAACTTTTAATAAATTATAATAAAATTCATAGAAATAATAAAATTCAAGAATTCATTTATGGATAAAGAATAACAAAATCAAGTTATAAATAAACACTCAATTCATTGAGCTTTTAATAGATTCTGATATCATAGAAACGCCATTGAAATGACAGACATTACGTAATACTGTTATATAATATGCCAAATATATATCACTGTATTATAGATATTTGGCATATTGTGTGAATTATAATACTTTTCAATTTCATTTGAAGGATATCAGTACTAATAATTAATTTTATATAATACTTTTCCATCAAAGCATAAAATTACTATTACTTGTTTACAAACCTTGGCAACTATTTACACAAATACAATATATCAACATGTTTTATACTATTAAAGTACTGTAAAATTCGAGAATTTGTAATCTATAAATACTTTAAACATAATTATTGTAATCTATTATTATAATTTTAATTAAAAAAATTTAAAAAAATTTATTTAAAAATATTAAATTAAAAACCAATAATAATTACCGTGATTTGAATTTTCTTAATTAGAAGGAAAATTACAATGATTTGTAGTTTTACCAAAAATCTAACACTGAATACGATTTCTAAACTTAAAATAAAAACATACAATTAATGCATAAAATCTATAAAACTGATTGAATGATTAGACTAAACAGTTTTATATCATATATTGAACTAAAGTTTATCTCATTTAATATGAAATAGTGATAGAATTATTGATAACATATCTATAAAGTTGATATAAATTATGGTTTTGTGGTAATTTTTATGATATC